AGTTCTTGTCAATAGCAAAGAAACTACAATTAGTATTGACAGACTCAAACCAGCATATGTACAGAGTGATGACGTCATACAAACACCACCAAAATCTACTACACAAACAACTGCTAAGGACAATTCCCCATCAACCCAGTCTACCCGCACGAAGTCGGGCAGACATGTTCATTGGCCAGCTAGGTTTCACACTTATATTACATATTAATGCCCATTGGCATGGCCATTAATCTGGGAGGAGGTATTATAGACTCGTCCTGTTTCTACCTGCAAACCCTAATAACAGAACGGTCTATATTTTACGCCTACGTACAAATTAACTTTAACCAATTAAAACTGTATTAGGCGAATAAAGAAATTTCATTGGATAACGACAACGATCTAAAAGTTTCACGCGCTGAAATCAAAATTGCGCCAAAACCTTTTGAGCCAACTTTGGACCTTCGAAAACTTATATAAAGGAAAAACCGACTGACCAAAATCAGTCAGTAACAGCACCACAGAGAATTGATAATTTACTCCACGTCGTTCGAAACCAGACTTTGCCGCAAAAAAAAAAAAACAAAAAAACACCTCAACGCTGACTCGCTAACATTTCAACTCTACCAATTCTGTGGACATTATTTCTTAGATATTGCTTACCTAAAGTAAATTACATTTACTATTTATTAAGTAAACATCTACATGTGAACGACCTTAAAAATATTACAGTGAAAGGTAAATTACTTCTTAAGAACTTTCTGAACTCTTACAAGAAAGACATTCTGAAACTTAAAACATCATACACATTTGCGAACATAGCACATACCTATATTCTATTTGTACATCATTTTGAATTGTATGTAAATGTTTTATCAGTTTCTAATATAATATGTCTTATTCGTAATATGAACTCTGGTACAAATATTCCAAGTTAAAGGGACACGACTCTGTCCTATCCTTTTGTGCATATTGTACGTCAACCTAAATAGATTTATTGTTACGTTATAAAACAATTCATTTGAATTTTGTATTTTATTTTGATGTTAGTGGAAATAGTTAATTGACACGCAACCTATTCTCAACAAATATTACCACACAATTAACCCATTCACAACAGTCTATTTCCCTATAGAACTTCTCCTCATCAATTTCATTAGGATTGTATATATCTGGCTATCTTCATTTCATTCACCGTGACTAACTATCTCCCCTTATTGAATTAAAGTAATCCCAACTTCCTTTTTCTTGATTTTTCAAAAACATCACAAGTAGTAACAATACTGCACTTAAATGTATTTCGTCTTTTGGCTAATTTATCAGTTAAATATGAAATGAAGGACATTTTGAAATATTAACCACAAAAATTCCCCAAAATCTGCAAAAAAATATCTAGAAAGAAAAAAAGAACCACCAAAACAACTTCTTCCACTTAACGCACACACACCTGTAGGGTACTAATGTTAATAGAATGAAACGTTTAACATGATGATACAAAATAAAGAAGTTTTTATTTCCTTTTCTTTTTACAACACAAGAACTTGCGGAAAAATCTGAAAACAAAAATTGAATCGAGTTGTAGTGAAATATCACCAGCCGCGTGGAGTTAAAAGAATTATCGCCAAGTTGAGAGTCGTAATTTGATACTATTCATTCAACGGTCAAAAGAGCAGGTTGCTGTGAGACACGGTTGTATTCATCTTTGCTAAGCAAGTAAACTGTAGTTTGAAAATTTTCTCGTTTTTATATTTGTTAGCTCCACAAATTTCTTACAAAGTGATCACATATTTTTTGTACACCCGATTGGTCAAAAAATGTGGTATTTTCTTTTTGATTTTTTTTTTAAGAAAACGTGCGTAGGCATTATATATATATATATATATATATATATATATATATATATATATATATATATTTAACATTTTTAGGTCAAGGAGAACAAAAGACACTCTCTGTGTTATGGCCCTAAGAACCTGCTGATTTTTTTTAATGGACTGTGATTGGACGGTTCAAAGGTGAACCGCCCTCTTTAAAATGGAAGGGAGAACTGAGATTGGATCTTAGCAGCAGTTGGAAACGAGACAGCTTAGAAAGAAGAGGTTCGTTTTCTCTCTCTCTAGGGAACGTATAATGGATCAAATGTTTCTATCCATTTCTAACTTCAGAGTAGAGAAGGACCAAGAGTGGGATAACGTCAGATCGTTTCTCACCAACATTAAGACACAGCTCCATGAGTTGAAGAATTCCTTCTCCTTGGATTTCCTGGAGAAAGGTTCTCCAGTTAGCAAGTTTGTGAGTCACGTAGTGTTCAGTAAACTGCCGGTGTCGTTTTGGCGTGAAGTTATCAACCGTGTGGGAAATAATTACCCTGAATTGGAGGAATTATTCTCCGTATATTCAGATGCTATCCGAACATTAAAAATTACTAAGCCCAAAATAGCTTGTCATGATAAAAATGTTTATAAGCAGAGAGCCCTTAGTTCAAGCAAGGTTAAGGTAGTTCCAAATGACAAAAAGTCCTCAGCCCTGAAAAATTTCTTAGTTAAAGCTGCACCCGAGAAGTTCAAGTGCAATTTTGTCGTTCCAATGCTCATACTGGATATTCTTGTAGGAAATATCCTACATTAAAGGACCGCTTAAGTGTGTGTAAGTTAGCTAATTTGTGCACCAAATGCACTAGTCCTTCACATTCTGCCGAGCAGTGCCCTTACGTACAAGGCCAGTTTAAGCCTTGTTGGGGTTGCAAGAGCCTGCTTCATTGCGGCGCTTTGTGTCCTACTGTTGATAAGAAACAAGAGAATGTAAATCCTTGTTTTGAGAAGGACAGAGATTTATTACTACCCGTGCTTGAGATTGTAATAGGGCAGGGCAAGACTGAGAAAAAGATAAATTGTTTGGTAGACACGGACAGTCAACGGTCTTACCTTTCAAGTCGTGTAATGAGGACCTTGAATGATAAATCTGTTCAAACAGCTAAAATAAAATTTGTCATTAAAACCTTTTGGGGTTCGGCGTAGAAAGTATTAAGTGAAGTAATGTTGGACATCAAGCTTCTTAATGGAAAGAAATCGATTCCCTTTCTGGTGGATGAAAAGTTAGACCTAGATTTTCATGTGGTGGGTCTTAGCGCAGCGGTAAACAGTATACAAGCCAGTGGTTTTAAATTGGCGGTGGACTTTTCAAGTGTCCAGGATGATTCGTTCTCTGTACAAGGGTTGTTAGGTGTGGATTTGCTCAAATTTTTAGGCCCCATGCAGTTAACAAGTTTGGTGAATGGCTCTGCGTTTAGGTTCCCTCAGGGATTGGTACCTTTTGCGAATGTTGCAGACTTTATGGGCCTGAGACTGTTACTCAGAAAAATAGAGCTTGTGACTCTCATTATACTCAGATAGTAGCCAATTATTCAGAGTGTCCTGTGATATGTATATTATGTGTTAGGGTCCAAGTCCATGTATGTGGATCCTTTGGACTGTTTTTCTGAATTCTCAGTTGAGAGGGACCCTGAGAGTTTTATTGAGTTTGTATCAGGATGCTGTTGACATCATGAAGGAGGGTAACTTCTTCCTTAGGTCTTGCAACTCAGACTGTGATATCTTGAGGGTTAGAATGAAGTCTGATGGCAATTTTGTTACTCATGACTTTCTTTTTGAGAAAGTTTTAGGTTATTATTATGACCCAGACAAGGATGAGTTACATATAGCGAGTAAGTCTCCTGAAGTTGCTGCCGTAACTAAGAGAGGTGTTCCATCACAAAATTCCAGTGTTTTGACCCGTTATCGTTATGTCTGCCTGTCACTATCAAAGGGAGAATATTTATCAGTGACTTATGGAGGCTAAAGTTGACCTGGGATGAGAGGATTCCTAATGAACTTCAGGTGGTCTGGAGTAAATTGTTTGAGGACCTTGTACTGTTGGAACATTTGAGATTCCCCAGATTTGTTTTGGATAGTACTGGTCCTGCCAGTTTGTTGGTGTTTTGTGATGCTTCTCAGAAGGCATATGGATTTGCAGCCTATACAAGACAGAATGGGTCTGCCAGATTGATGTTTGCTAAAGCAAAGGTAGCATCATTAGAGAAAAGAACTTTGTCATCTCTGGAATTATTAGCCGATTTTTCTTGCAATTAGAATGGTCCCTAACATTTCGAAGGTCTTAAAACGGTAAACGTTGTGAAGAGCGTTACCATGATTGTAGACGCTCAAATAGTGCTGTCGTGGGTGTTATCGGATGTTTCGAAAACGAAAAGTTTATTAGAAACAGGTTGAAAAGACATTCGGGGAGCAGTGGAAAGGCTAAGAGACCAGGGTTATGATCTAAACTTCAGATATGTCCCATCGGCTGACAATCCCTCTGATATGATCACAAGAGGCATTTCACTGGACAAGTTTGAATCGCAGTTTCAGTTTTGGATATTTGGGCCTGGGTGGTTGTCGGGTGTCACTGTGAATTGGCCGCATAGTGAACTGAATTGTTTGAGTCACAACAGTCAAAAGTTGGTTTTGTTGTTGTTCCTGATGTTTTAGTGGTTCGGGATGTTGCCCCGGTAGTTGAATGCAACAGGTTTTCATCCTTTCCTAAATTAATGAGAGTTTTGGCCTATATCTTAAGGTTGAAGGGATCCCATACGGACCATGTGCTGACCGCTAAGATTAAAAGGGCGGATGGAGGTACCCAGGAGCATTCTTTGAGGCATCTTTTCCGATGGAATTGTCTATCACCCATTCTCATCAGACTACTGTACCCTCCAGGGAAGTATCCGATTTGGAGGTTGAAGCTTCTCCTGTTAGAGATAATATCAGAAGACCAGTTGCCTCTGCTAGACCTCGTAGGAAAGTTAGGAATGTAAATAGTAGGGATAACAACTTTTATGTTACATGTACTTAGGTGATTTTTGAATTTATGTAGATCATGCTAAGAAAAGATTTTTTGTTTTTGTTTGTCGGGACAGTTTGAAAATTTTTAGGTCAGGGAGAACAAAAGACACTCTCTGTGTTACTGACCCTAAGAACCTGCTGATTTTTTTAATGGACTGTGATTGGACGGTTCAAAGGTGAACCGCCCCCTTTGAAAGGGAAGGGAGAACTGCGACTGGACCTTAGCAGCAGTTGGAAACGAGACAGCTTAGAAAGAAGAGGTTCGTTTTCTCTCTCCCTGCTGGAAAGGCAGGCAGTGTTTGCCCATAAGTGAAGGATGCATGGGTAACAAAGTTGCTGAGGGCAAGTTTTGTAATAGAGAGAGGTATACGCACACACATCCACATAAATACACATGCACATATATTTTTTATTGAAATTGGAGTGAATCTAGCTAGTGAAACTAGATCAGAGCGTTCTGTCTACTGATGAGGAAATCTGATCTTGCCTTTGGAATTGGGTCGTTGAAAAAACAATGAAAATGATCTAAATAAATTTTATCGGTTAAAATTTAAAATAGAGCTTACTCAGGCTATCAGAACTTTGAAACTCACATGACTTTGGGTTGGAAACGGCACTCATGATAATTGCGTGCCAGGGTCGATTCATGATCAAACAGATTTATCTATATAAACCAGCGTAGTTATGCTGAAGAGAAGGCGGGCGGTCGAGCGAGACGGAAGAGACCAGACGGGAGAGACCGCGATCGGTCGGCACATCGTCGTCACGTGCGTGAGCACCTGCATGCGACCATTACGTGTCGCGGTGCTACTGGCAGACGGTCGAGCGAGACAGAAGAGGCCAGACGGGAGAGAGAGTCGGGGAACGAGACCGTCGTCAGAGAGAGTCCCGAGAGATTTGCGGGAGAATTAGAGAAGGAAGACTGCTCCCTGTTCTGAGAAGTCTGTATGAGACTGGACTATTAGTCATAAACCTATCCAGGCGATTCAATACGCGTTTATCACACACAAACTCTCTCTCTGTTGGGAATTCGCTGGATGCATTGTGTCTTTTTTTTTTCTTTTCTCATTTATGTTAAATGTTTTTATTCTCCCTGTAACCTCTGTTCTGTTGTTATCTTCTCATATAAAAGACGTCAATATTTCCCCCATTGTTGTTTGGCTTCTGCAGATATTATTTCTTGTTTTATTTTGCCACATTCTAAACTTCCTAGCACCAACTCTCACAGCCGTGTCCACATCCCCAGTCGACCGTGAACGTATGGACAACACCCCGCTTACTGGGTCTAAAAACTAACACAGCGTGGGCAGCAAGCAGGACTTGACCAGTTGACTGGTCGAAATAATCTACGGGTTCTCAGGGAGCGTACGGCCAGTTACCCCTAAGTTCGGTTCGGACCGAGTGGACACCTCAACCCAAAAAGGAAGACGCCGGAGGTTGAGGGGCTGGGGACGAAGTGGTAGATTGGTGCCCTGTTGACCAGGATAGACCCATGGGAATTACCACGGCTGTTTGTAAGTGGTAGAGTTTCCCCTTCAGAGAAAGTTTTGAGAAGTCCTGTTGAAGAAGCCTCAGAAAAGAAAGTTGAAAAGAAGTCCATAAGTGGAGTTTGGAGCTAAAGCCGTTTGAAAAGAAGGAGCAAACACGTGCGTTTTCAAAAATTGTTTTCACCTTCTAGCGTCAGTAAAAGAAAGGCGTAATTTCCAGGCGGGCGGGAGGAAAATAAGTGAAGAAAGGAGGGAGTTTGGTCACCAGGAAGAGAACCTTGTCTACACAAGAGAGAAAAGAAAAAAGATAAAAACTTTTGAACCTTGAAAGGACTGAAGAGCTATGGCTCTTCCCACTTTTTATTGTTTTTATTGACACAGCAGGTGGGCGCTATTGATATTTGCGCTAATTGTTGATCCGGTTTTTCTCAAACCTTGTCGGAATTTATCTACTTCCTGATAAATTCGACCGTTGGACTTAAATTTTCTGTGGCTAAATAAAAAAGAAAATAGCGTTTAACTAACAAAAGTTCTTGTCTGAGATTTACAAAGAATTTCTTAAGGACTCTGAAGAGGAGTTTTAAGAAATTAACACAATATAATTAACAAAAATAAAATCAAGCTTGCAAACAATTTCCTGTGTGCGGCCTCGAGAATAGTCCTGGGCACCAAGTAACGTATAAAAAAGGAGAAAGAAGTAGGGTTGAAACCTACCCAAAGTTTACGTTAAGAAAATAGTTAATGCAAATAACGACAGGAAATCTCTCTCTCGCAGAGCTCGTGCTTTTGGGAAGCAAAAATGTTGTTTGCCAAATGCCGTGTAGCAAAAACACGATGTATGAAAAAGTTCTTGTGAAGAAATTTTGCAGTTGAAAAAATGTGGAGAAAAAGGGTTCCTTTGTAGAAAAAGAGGCTTCCAGTCAAATTATCTAATTTCCCTGGCAGAAACTAAAATGGACTTCTAAAGAAGAAAAGTCTGCTGCTCTTACCACGCTCAGCTGAACAAGCGTAAAGTTGCAAGTAGAAATTCAGGCATCTGCAGAAATATGAGGAATAAACCAAGGCCTAACCAAGAATTTGCAGAATTCTCTGGAAAATGCCTTTCACAATATTTCCTGGGTCTTGTCACAAGCTGGGATGAGAAATATCTTCCTTTTTCAGGTCTTGACGGGGAAATTGCATCATTTCCTAAACACCGAGCACTAACCAAAAGAAAACAAATATGAAAGGGTTAAGAAAGGTGACAGAATCGATGAAAGCAATAACAGCTTGAAAGTTTATAGCGGACAATTCTCTCTTTTAGGCGAAAGAATAAAGACTCAAACTCCTACTCGGGGTTTAACAATAGAAGAAGAAAATGTTTATTTACATACACAAAAAGGGTAAAGAGAAAAAGGCAAAATATGAGAAATATATACACAATATGAGAAATATATACACAAAAAGGCAAAATATGAGAAAAAGAAAAGGAGAAGAAAATTCCTTTAACTTAAAGGAAGAAAAAATGTTCATATAAAGGCTGGCTCAAAATATTTCTCTGAGCACCTAAAAGTTCTTTAAGCAAGCAAATGGTTCTTAAGGGGTTAACACTCGCATAAGATTTGTTCAGAGCTCTTGTTAAGAGGGGAACAATCGGAAGGTCCGTAGATTATAGCTGAGTGAGGAAGCGGATCTCAATTAGTTTTTAGTAGATGGCAGAAGTCCAGCATTTAGATTTGTTCCTTGAAACAGGTTCCGAAGATGATTGTTGTTCTGTCGTCGACTTGATGTCATCATAGACAATGTCAAGTACTCACAGTCAAAAAGGCGTATATTCTCCGTATTTATCGAGATGAGAAGGCTCAGAAATATTGGGAACTTTTCTCTCTAAAACTGCTATACATTATCGCAGCCCTCTCGTTCACCAGAAAAATATATACTTATCTCTGATAAGAATCAAAGGTTTGGGAGCTGGGTTTTGGAAGCAAGGGTCCGACAAGTTGCGAGCATTAACGGTTTATGGTACCATGGTCAGGGAAAGGGTGGTCAAATTCCTTTTTATATTTTCCAGCTCTCTCGTTCGTCAGGAAATATATTCTTATCTCTGATAAGGATAAAGGCTTTGGGTGCCGGATTTGAAAGCAGGGGTGAGAGTCGAGGCAAAGATCAGAAAAGAGAATCTAATATGAACTTGTAAAACATTGTAGTAGTGGTTCTCAAATTAAATTTTAATACAGTATATAGAATTACTAGAAAATCTATGTGGAGATTACTTCATGGTGTAGACTTCCAAAAACAGCACACCTCTGTCACTTTTTTACATGGAGGGACGGAACAAGAATTAAAAAATAAATGAAACAAAGATTTGTAGTTTGAAAGCCTCAAGTTTGGAGGTGCCACATCATCTGCTTCCTAATCTGAACCCCCCCCCCAAAAAAAAAAACCACAAATTGTGTCAACATCCTGTGTAAGGTAGATACACAATTTATTGCTCAATAACAGAAAGAATCATAGAACGAAGTTCAACTCCCTATTTGTAGTTAAGGACGAGTTTAACCGTCATAAAACCGTCATGTGTAATGTAATAAATGTAAAGTATATATTTGTTTGTAGTCAGAGGCGATGTAGGAATTAGTTTGAAGAAATATTCTGACTAAATGTGACAGGTATACGTTTTTTGTTGTTGTTCTTGTGTGTGTGTGTGTGTGTGTGTGTGTGTGTGTGTGTGTGTGTGTGTGTGTGTGTAGCGTTTACTACTCCCCACTTCCTGAGGGTTCCCTTCAAAGGGAATTATCTAGCAACTCCATTAGTACTACTGCATGGCAATTACTACTATAGTTCCCCCACTTTATAAGTTCAAATGTTGGGGGTATGAATTGTCTGTAATGATCATCTGACCACTAGTGGTGTGTCAGTCTGACATTTTTGATTCTTGGGTAACTTGGTCCCTGTTCTGTTCCAGTTATAGATTCCCTTATAAAATTACATTTTATGGATTCTGGTTTGTCTGGTAGTGGTGCCAAATTTCTAAAAGGGACTGTGTCTTCATTTCTGTCTTTTGTATATAAACGTATACTCGGCTGGTGTTGTAGTAATTCTACTTCCACAACTGGAGGTTCATATTTCTTCTCTCTGACATGTAAGAGTACTTTCTTTGAGTTGGTTAACCAGCTTGCTATGGAAGATCCTGTACCCAATTTAGGCTAATAGTTAAATAGTTTGAGGTACAGTTGTATAATAGGGATCGTATGGAATGTAAGGCATCAGGTAGCACTACCTTGAACATAGATAGAGGCAATAGTCTTGATTTAAGAGTTAATTGTTCTATTTAGCCTTACTATCTGTCCATTTCCCCAAAGGTTGTAACTGGTTGTCCACTTGGTAGCAATTCCTTTTGAGTGTAGGAAGTCTTTCAACTCACTTGACATGAAGAGTGGCTGAAAAGATATTCTCTGCATGTGAATGTGAAGGGAAACCTGTTGAACTCATTAATGACCATTAGAATGTACTCGTTTTTCTTTGTAGACATTAAGAGTGGGCCTTTGAAATCCATATTTAGCTTTTCAAAGGGTTGGGTTACATACAGTATACTTTGGTTTTTCCTTATGCACACCTTCTACATTGAATGGTAATTATGAGAATGTCCTCCACTGTGTAAGGAAGGTTTTCGGTGTGCACAAAATAAACCATTAGTCATGACATAGCAAAGTGAAAAAAAAAACAAAAAAAAAAAAACAATGCCTTTACTCAGAAAAAACAGTGATCAAACAAACAGGGAAACGGGACTGAAGGAATGTATGATGAAAGTTCACAATATGTATACACACACAGCCTCCTTGCAAAAATCTGTCTTTGTAGCAAAAGCAGCATGTGACATGAAAGAGTTGTGGCTTTCTGGATTTTCTTCTGTACAAGGAGTAATTAATATAATTAATGAAAAACAAAAAGGAAACACAGCTGATAGAGAAGGCAGTATGATGATTGGACATGATTTCCCATGCCCCTCTCTCAAATGTTTAACCAGTACAATGAACTCAGTCCCATGTTCAATTTCTGATTGCTAAAACTGCCATTCATACCCTGGGGACAATCCTTTTTATAATGCAAAGAAGGCTCTCACAGAATTGTGAAGGTGTGACCCCAAGTGTTGATCCTGGTCAACAGCAACCAATAATGTAGCACTATGCTTCTCATTGGTCTTCAAGTTCCTTCAGACCACTATGGTTACCATCTAGCTGACTCCTCACTCATTAATGTGTGGCTGGTTTGTCCCTTGTATCATGATGATAAGCACAGTTCCACTTGAGTTAGCTGGCATTTGTCTGTTCTTGACCATTTACTCCTCTGCTATGTTGTGTTTTTGATCTCAGAGGATAAGATCACTGATGGAGTAAACTGAAGTGAAGATGGGTTGAGTGCTGGGAACTACCAAAAAAAAAGGAATTATTTGGAATAAAGAATTAACTCAGGTTAAAAAATGTAACAATGATTTGGTTTATATATGATGTGTTGAACACAGCAGTTTTAACCTTTCCCACTATTCAAATGAGACTAGTATCTCCTTTGGAGTCTGCAGCTTGTGTTAGTAATAACTTAAATTTCTAAGTTCTGGTCTTCAGGGCCAGCACAAGGTCTTGGTCAGAAGTACTCAGCAAACAATGTGGATTCCAGTAGCAGTAATGTGGGAACTCTACAAGTTGTCCAGACCTCTAGCTTATATGGAGTTCTGCATCTGGCAGGGGTGGAATGACCAGGATCTGGGTTCAGTTCTCTTCGACTCTTAGCATCAACATTTTTCTAAATTTCCATATTCTCAAAATATGTTAACTCGAGTGGTTTTCCAAATTTAGGTCATCCTGGGTTTGATGATAAACTACATCCAGTAGCAAGGCAAATAGTTAACTCCCATACTGGGGTCAAAACACTATGAAAGTGTAAAAATAGGTTTTTATAGTAAAAATACTAGCAATACAGTTTTGAAAAAAAAATTATTACCAGAAATACATTTTTGGAAAAGAAATATTACCAGCGATAGATTTGACTTTTGACAAAAACCTCTTTTTTATAAAAATACATCAATGAAACCTGATCTCCTACAAACAGATTTCTTACAAAGAATACATATTCTATCCAT